TCAGAGAATTGCTTGGCCCTGCGTTTTAGTTTGTTTCTGTTTTTAATAAGTTGTTTAAGTTCTGGCGGAAGGCCGAACGGGTTTTTATTTGAGTTCGGTTTTTGACTTTTGGCTTTTGCAAGGGCTGCAGAGATAGAATTTGAGATTTTCTTTGAAAGGGAGTTAAGCTTCTTTGCGTTTTCGGGAGAGTGGTCCTGAGTTTGAATCTCGCCCAGGTAATAAGTGAGGGCGTTCTAGTCGGTGTATGTAATTGGGGATAAGGGGTTGTTTGTGTATTGTTCGTTGATGTCAATCATTATGGGATTGTGATCGGAGCTGAGTGAGTCAGAGTTCTGTATGTTAACGGAGTGGGAAATGTCTTTTGTCAGCGCTATGTCTAATATGTCTGGAGTTTTGTAGTGGTAGTGAGTTGGGTCTGAGGGAGCGTGAATTTGGAAGTGTAGGTCTTGTGAGTATTTGTTAAGTTTTCGGCCTTTGTCGTTATGAGGCTTGCAACCCCAAATGGGGTTTTTGGAGTTTAAGTCTCCTGAGAGGATTGTAGGAATGTTTTTGTGGAAAAGGTTGTCATAGTCTTGTACAGTTGTGTTTATGTTGGAGGGTTTGTAGGCAGAAATTATAAAAATTGGAGGAGTATTAGTGCTGTGTTTGGTTTATTAGTATTAGTGCTGCGTTGTCTCTTTCGGACTATTAGGTTACTGATTGGAGGGCTTGGGTGATGAGAGAGGGAGTTTTTGATCAGAATGGCAGTGCCGCCCCCTGGGTTGTTCGGCCGGTCGTGGACGGTAAATTCTATAATTATTAATTTTGAGTTTAGTTTGTGTTTGTAAAAAGGTTTCTTGAAGAAGTGCAATGTCCAAATCGTTTTCCCGGAGATAGCCTTCGAATTCATGCCTTTTCGGGTAGAATGACCTTGTTTTGGAAACCGACCTGTTTGGCTTTTTCCTGCATTTGAGCAGTGGAGTTTGTTTTTTTTTGGGCAGGAAAAGTAGCTTGCCGGGTGGGGGCTGTCGCAGTTAATGCATTTTGCGTTTAGCCGGGATGTCTCTCGACTTTTTGCATTCCGCGTAGAAATGACTTTGGGCGCATTTGTGGCAAACGGGTTTGCTTCACAATTGGCCATGGTGTGTCCGAACTTTTGGCAATTTTTGCACTGAGGAATGTGCCTTAGGTTGCTGACCGAGGAGTGTCTTTGGGGCTCAATGACTACCGCCAAGTTTAGGAGGTACTTAACCTCGAAAATTGTTGTTTGCTCTTTGGGCAAGAGCATTTTAACCATGTTCGTTTTGGTTTTTAAATTTCCCATCCTGAAGAATTGGATTTGGGATGGGTTGAAACCGAGCTCTTCGATTTCAGTTTGGATTTCGGCAAGTGACATATCTTGATGGAGGCCCTTGACGATGGCAATAAGTTTGTTGTCCTCTGGTAGAGTATGAGTATGAAACTCAATGTTCTCCTTCGAGAGAAGTTTGGTGATGGCTCTATGGTTATCAATTGATTGGGGGTGGATTTGGATCCCTAGGTGGACTTTTTTAGGATTTCCAAATTGACAATTGTGCTGTAGCAAGAGCGAGCGGGTTTTTGTCCACTCGGACACATTCCTGATGACGACAGGAATGGCTTGCTTTTTTGGGGCAGAGGTAGGGGGAGAAGCTTGGTCCAAAGTGGCACTGGAAGAGGCCTGGCTTTGGGGGGCAGCGGTTTTTTGCACCATATGATGGTGTAGAACGGCGTTGGATGTTTTAGGGAGATTTAAGGGGGCTTTTGGTTTTAGGACTGGGAAGTCCTCGACTTCCATTTGCTCAGCTTCAGCTGAAGGCTTTGCTGGATCTTGTTGGGTGGGGAGTTCTTGGGCTTCTAAGAGTTGTAGTTTTTGGAAGAGCTCCTTAATTTGGGCTCCTTGTGCCACGATGAGTTCGGCTTGTTTGCGCTCTTTTTGACGAAGCGCTTTAAGCTCAGAGAGAATGGCTTGATTGTGTTTGGTTTTGGTGTTGAATTTGGGCGTTTTGGGGGTGCGGGGGAATGTTGGCTTACCGTTGTCACTGCTCATGACCGCACTTTGATCGCTGTCGCTAGAATACGACATTTTTCCGCGTGTGAGAACACACGCGGTCTGCTGAGGGCTTTTGCGAAACACTTGAGGAGTTGCGCGCACGCTCTTTGGTGGAACTAATAATTTTTGCTATTGGTGAATAACTTTACGCACTGGCACGAAGTCACTGTAATTGTTGCTGCTGTTGTTTTGGGTGCTGATGATTCACTTTGAGCACGAGCACGAAATCACGCGAGCTGATGCGTTAAGTCAATGCTAATCTAATGATGTAATACTGACTCCCTGTGGTTCTCGTCGTGGCTTATATAGTTTCCTCCAGGTAACCCAGATGCTTCTCGAAATCTCAAGAACAGGTGCGAAACTTCCCGCTTGTCAGTGTCATATTTGACAGTAAATGGGGCGCAAATGGGCCTCCCATTTACTGAAATATCATGAATTTCGATCCCCCGATTCCAAACGTGAGTACCGCAGGCTATTTCCGTTACAATATAAACGTAAATGTCTTGGTAACCTGAAATTTGATATAAACGGATAGCAGGTTTCGTATTAGTAACTGTGTTAAAACTTGTTATTTGTATTTAAATGTTATAGAATAATGGTTATGTGTTAGTCTCCTGAATATAAAAAGTATGATGGTCCTGAAAATGTTGGTTTTTCCGGTTCCCAACACCCGCCCACACGTATATTGTTCTTTATAAACCGTATGTTATACTTAAAAATGATTTAGTGTTTGCTTGCAGTTGTCATTTTCTTGATGGGAATAATTCAAAAGGCCCGATACAGGTCTTGGCCTTATTATAGTACCTTGTCGCAAAATAGTTAAAATATCGGAGTCCCGAAAAATGAGCAGAAGGAAAATGTCTGCCGTATCAGAAACACCAAGCGACCATTTGAGCATCAAGTAACTACATATTCCTGTAATTTATTTATAATTGACATGCACATACATATAATTTTCAGGCCTGAAACTGAACCACAACCTTCGACTTCGACTGAAGGTATTCTTGAAACCTTTATGTCTACAGCACGGATTTATGCTGAACTTGATTTTCACCAACAATTACAAGTGTTAATGGGACTTCACAATTTATCTGAACATTTTTCAATTGAAAGTTAAAAGAAATGGCATCTTAGTATTTATGTATTTTTCTACGTATGCAATATTTTAATGTTTATTTGCCATAATTCAAAGATATAAGTAGTTTGTTATTATGACTGGAAAGTTGAAAAACTTAGTAAGCAAGATCAGTTACTCATAACTCTCATGAAACTTTAGCTGTTAGTTTTAATATTTCGCAGTCAAAAATATACAGAATTACAGTAATACACAGTAATTTTTCTTTTTCATACTGGCTCTCACCTCTTTAAGTTAAGCAGGAGAGTTTTCGGTAGCGAACACTAGCTCAATGACATTGCCTCTCTCTTAAGAGTTTTCACCCCTCTTTAACTATGCACAGTCTACTATAAAGCAATCCGCTACAGCAGAAAATCGTACGACGTGACCTGCAGACACTTAAAATGTTAACTTATGATTAGAATCGAGGAACTAAAAGGCCGGGATGCGTTTTTAATCGACAAATTGTCTGCAAGGCATGTACACATTCGTATCCAACAGCAATCAGCTGTTAGAAAACATAAGCTGCATGTTGAAAAATATTTAATTTAAGAAAAAGTAAGAACGATGTATCTAACGTAGTGAACAAAATAGTTGCTAACGATAGCGGTACTTTACTTTTTTCTAATATTAATGCTTAGAACCTGCAGATTTCTAGAAAAATACAAAATGAAATTAGGTCCAATGCTAATAAGATACGACAATTCCTTTGGGTGGATAAAGTCCTTCCGCGCGAGCATCGTCTGACGTCAGACTAATGGAGCGTATTGGAAACAACGCCGTAAACTCTCCCAGTCCTCCAGGAGATATTCTGTGCATTAATTCACTTGACTTAACTGGAAACTGTCCTGTACTCAGGGTTGCCAGGTCCGAAAATCGAGTTTCGGTAGATAAGTTCGACATTTTTCGGTAGAAAATCGGTACTCATTTTTTTTATTAATAAGGGCCAGAGCTGGTTGGGTAGTCCAAAACCTCCCCAAAAAAAGGCTCCATAAAATCGCGCGATTTTCACAACTTGAATTTTTTAAACTTACAGGAATACTAAAATAAGCATGAGTCATAGATAAGTTCTATATTGTTGAGGCGGATTCATTTTTTACAAACTTCTTTTTATCTTACAGCTTGAGCCTAAGTATGTCGCAGGATACCCTTTAGGTGATAGTTCTTGATTACTTTTTGATAAATAATTCGTTCTTATTGCGAAATAGGAGCACTATTTATCAATCTGTAATAAAAGACGTGAGGAAATTCTGACAAAAATTTTTGAGGCAAAATACCCAAAAAGAAGTTTGTAAAGCGTGAGTCAGTAAAGAAGTAAAAATGAAATTGTGCTCGTTTTTAGCTTATTTCTCAACTTAGTTTTCATTAGATTAACCTGTGAAAATATCCGTTCAACATTGGCTGATGAGTGAGGTAGAATAAGCAGGATGCAAATAAAATTGGTTAAAATTGGAAACATGAATGTATCACCTCCATATTTCAATATTTGTACTTGGCTCCAAAACTCTTTAATATTTCCAGAAATTTTTTAAATTTCTTTAACATTTCGCAACGCAAGACGTCATTCTGTGTCCAGACCTTGTAATTCACTAACTGTAATCAGTCATTAAATTTGGAAATATCATTGCAACATCAGAAATAGATTGTAGGGAACCTGATTTCACTATCCCAGGATCCATAAAACATAATTTTATCATATTTATGATCTATATGGCGGGCTTAATTCATTTTATGTTTGACAAAAAACTCTAAAATACGAGGTGTGCTAAAATAAAATGTCTGCTATTACCAACGTATTTTGATCATGAATGGAAATATGTTATATTGTTTTAAGTAATCCACGGATAATTTTTTAAATTTTATTTGTTACTTTTTGGTAGTAATCTGCATGGTATCGGTAGATCAGTAGGTTCCTTGACAAATCGGTAGATTTACTCGTCATACTGATGTCTGTTTCGCGTTGGCGGTACAAGGTGGCGGCAAGGGTGAGTTGGTGCTGCCACCTGTGAGTTGTTGGATGAACGCTGAATGAAGTCCTCCACATATCAATCTATTAAGAACAAGTTTAACTCATAACCTAAAGGAAGTGACAAACTGTAAATGCTCCAAAACGTCTCAAATCGGGGAAATATTTATTTTCTGAAGTTTTGAAATCACCTCGCGTATTTGGTGGGCAAAAACACACATTTTCGTTTCGTAAACCAATCTTTGAAGAACACGATTCTTACTGAAACAAAACGAAGTGAGAAGCCGTAAATACACAGAACACCTCTGAACAAGAAGTGACAACTCCATGCAAACGGCCGTGATCGCTTATGCGCGCTTTCTGCCAGGTGTTTCGGTCTCTAAATTAAAAAGAAGCAGGAATTTCGATTTATGAATTACAATATGATTGTAAAGCCTGTGTCCCATGCATCCGCTTATATGATGGTACGATGATACGAACGTCTTTCTATTGGTTGGCGGAAGAATTCGCAGATCTCCAACCAATAGAAACACTTTCGTATCATCGTATCATCATATAAACGGATGCATGAGACACAGGCTTTACTTCTGTGAATTTATTATTCCTAGCAAGGTATATTTTGCCCAACTACATTAAAAGTCACTGCACCTGTAACAGCTACCTTTAAAATGATTCTAAGTTTTATTGTTTAAAAGATTACTTACATTCTTTACCCCAAATTTACGTCTTTCCTGCAACTCTTCAAATTATGCTCAACGTTTCAATGTCCTCCTCATGCTGCAAAGCTGGTGAAATAGAAGTTTTTTCCTTGGGGTCATTTTGTTCCTGATGGTTATTCCAATCGAATGAAGCAATTCGCTTCTCACATGCAGCTGTAAACCTATTACATACTTTTACTTAATACTTTAGAACAGCGTTTTCTTAAACTTAAGAAAAAGCTTGAACTTACTCTTACTGTAGTTATTACATTTAAATGATTATTAAAACTTACCGATTTCACTATCTACATTATGCGTAGGCATCGAAAAAGTTGATTCTTGTTTCCGTTCGACAGAAGTAAAATCATCATGAGAAGTTTCTATACCTGATAAGTTTTTTGTTATTATAAACATTTTTTCTGTCAAAACAAGTATCCCTACCTGTGTGCGGGTGTGTCTCCGAATCACTAGCCGGTTGCATGCAAATGTTAGAAGGAGCTATAAAACTTTTGGGAATAGCTTTTGTCAGCAGCGTCTTCCTTTCGGGAGTTTGAAATTGAGATACTATAACATGGTTATTGCATACCGAATAACACCTTCTAACAGTAGCATRAGCTAATTTAGACAATGCTGGATTATTCACAACGTCCATCCAGTGTTGAAACATAATCGCACCATGAGGAAACATGTGGAACCTCACATCCGGATTCCCGTTACGATTTTCGCACGACAAAAATGCACACTTTTTATAATAAAGTCAAGGCATGATCTGAAGCAATAGATAAATAAGTCTGTGGTATCTTTTCCTCTAGTTATCTATATTTTTTAGCACAACTTATACTATGAACAACAAACTATGAAACAATCACAAGATTACTAGCAAAATCGAGTCCAACACGTGTTCTGCAAGCAGTAAAATGCAATGCAGCAAAATTCTTGTTATATGGTAACTGCTGATCATACATAAAGACGTGCTGCTGATTACAGTGATGATTAACGACAGCCACATGGCGAGTTTCATTTTTCTTCCCGCCAACAACGCGCCTCGTGCATTTGTTTACCGAACTAATTTTGTGGTCAAGGCTATCCCATTGCGTTGTCATGGGGGTGCGTAAATGCTTCAAAACGTCACAAATTCGCTAAAAATTACGAACTTGCTCCATTCTCAAGGTTAAACGCAGCGTCTAAAATACGCTAGCAGTTGTCGAGGGGGTTTTGGAAAGTAAACATACTTAAATGGGGTTTATGATTGACTTTTAATGGTTGATTAATTTAATATGGACAATATTTATGTAATATACCATCATTTTTTAAATGTGTCAATGCACTATGATAAATGTAAGTTCTACTATAAAAAAATATTCAAAATTTTTAATCCAGCTTTAAAGTTCAATTCTCTGTAGGATCATTATTATTCTTAAGTAATTTTAATCCAGGTAAAAGGTTTCAGTTAATGTCAGAGGACAAAGCTGTCGAGGCGTAAACGTCCTTCGTTCTCTGTTAGAAACATTAGATCTGCCATGGTTTGCTCGCAAATTGCTTCTTCTCCTTTCTCGGACATCTGTAAAAAACTACAAGTTCTTAACTCTACAAAAATAGTCCAAACATTTCAAATAGATCGACCCAGGCGCTGATCGAAATGAATGTTTTTGCTACTTTCATTACGCACCGGTTTCCATTCATACTCGGCTGGCGGTGGATACTTAAAATTTGGTCCGAAATTAACCGACACCGTCACATTTTTGTACAAGGACAGCGTTGGGTAATAGCTTCCTTGGTAAATGCCATCAAATGCAACGCCCTGACATTCCCCATTTTTAAAATTCAAAATCTTGCTGCCCGAAAGACTAACCAAGAGTTTAAGCCTTTCTTGGACATGATCCTTCTCTTCATAGTACAAATGGCTCTTAAATTTTACCAACGGCTAAAACAAATATAATTAATTATATCACTATGATCCAATACATAAATTGTTTTTTAAATGCAGCACACGAAATACGAATAAATATAAATCATTACGTATCTCGAATTGCTTGATCCAATGAGCACGAAATGTACCCTAGCGTCTAGTGGTATCCCCAATATATGGGCGCGAATTTTGACAGCTCTGGCCCCGGTGAATGGCGTGCAAGTATCAAAAATTACATTTAGTGCCGCGAAGTATTTTTATAAACAAATTGAAGGAGCATATTTAAATAAACTGCATCCAGTATGTTGACAACTCTGGCGCTCTGTTTCTTTATCCTCGTGGTTTCTGTTCGAAAAGTGGCAGGTTTCGATTAATTCGAATAAAAAAAACTTTATTAAATTTGCTTATGTTTATACTAGCGCAGCGACCCGTGGCGTTGCCCACGTTGACCAGTAGTTACGTGTGCAATTTTTCTACAACAGTTCTGATCGATCTCAGCCGAGAGGCAAAGAATGAACAAATAAAATTTATTTCTGGCCACAGTTAAATGCTTGTTATAGAACATGAAGAGAAAATATACAACTCAGCGCCCTCTATGAGCGGGCTTACAGCGAGACAGTGTAGAAACACCGTACACATATATTTTAAATCAAAAACTAAAAGTTGGGAAGTTGAAATTTTGTCAGGAAGTTACTCTCCAATAAACAAAGAAACATACAGAATTTCAGCCTTGTAGCTCGGTGCGATCATGGTTGGAGTTTTTATGGACAGACAAACAGACATACATTAATTTTTATATACAGGGTAATCCAAAATGGCGTCATTCCTTTTAAGGGGTGATAGAAGCTCCCTGTTGGAGTACGAAAAAAATATTGAAATTTTTTTTTTCCGAAAATTTCTAGAAGATATTAACAGTTGAAGATCGAATTTCAACTTCGTTATTAAGAATTATTTTGAAATTGTTCCATGTTTAATTGGTAGCATATTGGAATACTTAGCATTCAAAAAGAAAAATTACGATCGTTGCTTCTGATTACGAAAATTTTTGATATCAAAAAAGTTCTGTTCTACAATTTTTTGATAAAAAGGTACAGCGGCAATGATGTTTTTTGTCATTAGCAGATAGTTACACGTGGATAGCCCTTGTCAATAATAACAATAATTTGTTAAACTGTGACTTACTTTGAATTTCCTTTCACGAATTTGCGGATATGCGATTAGTTCAGGGGA